AGCATATTTAAGATACTTTATGACCCTTGTGAAAGCCTAGTAGTGTTTATTGTTGGGGGTTGGACATATATTGACTCAGATGCTGAGTGGCAAAGCTTATATCAGGTCTTGCTCTGGTTAAATATATGAGCTTGCCAACTAGTCTTCTATAGAAAGAATGATCAGGATAGGCATTAGAGTGGTGAGCAGTGAGGTGAAGTTTATGATCCATAGGGGTAGAAACTGGCCTGGAAAGCAGCACTGCCCCTTCTTCCAGTATCTCCAGAGTGTATTTCCTTTGTGAGAGATGACTCCAGATGAGTTTTTTGGCAACTTTAATGCCAATAAAAAACTTGAGAGGACCCATGTCTTTAATGTTGAATGTATGGTGGATATACTATTCAGCTGAGTAATTTCTTCTAGATCATTACCTCCCACAACCAAATCATCTATATAGACTAGGACACACGTATAGTAAGAACCTTGGGATTTGTAAAATAAGGAGTGATAAACTTGGCTGGAAGTGTATCCTTGATTGAGAAGGCAGTTTCCCAATTTAGAGAACTACTACCTTGAGGCCTGCTTTAGACCATATAGTGACTTCTTGAGTCTGCAAAGAGTTCTTGATGTGTGGTGGTGGTTTGTACCCTTTTGGTAGATTCATGTAGACTTCTTCTCTAACATCCTCATGCAAGAAAGCATTGTTCACATCTAATTGGTGGACATGCCATGATCTACAAGTTGCTATAGCAAGAAACAGTCTGACTGTGGTCATCTTGACCACTGGTGCAAAGGTGTACTAATAATCAATGCCCTCTTGTTGATTGTACCCTTTGGCAACTAATCTGGCTTTTTCTCTTTTCAGGCTGCCATCATAGAAGAATTTGTATTTGAAGATCCACTTGTTTCCTAGTGGTTTCTTTCTGGAGGCAAAGATAACACATCCCATGTCTAATTTCTTTCAAGAGCATCGATTTCATGATTGATTGGTTGATTCCATTCTGGTCTAAGGGCAGCTTCTTCATATGATTCAGGTTCTTTGTGACAAGATATGTTCAAGGTAAACTTGAGATAAGAAGGAGATAAGCTAGTGTAATCAATCAAATCAGATAAAGTTATACCTGGAACATGTTGCTAGAGAGAACGACTGGAGGAAGAAATCTGCTAAAGTAGGTTACAATGGTAAGTTTGGAGTTTGGTGGATAGTTTGATGGTTCTGGATGGTTTCCTAATGGCAATTGGGAGATCAATGGAGGGAGATGGTAAAGGATTTGAAGGGGGAGGTGGTGGGGAAGCAGATTGTGGTTCTTGAGTAGGAATGGAGGATGTGGATGGAAGATCATCAGGAGTAGTAGTGGAAGAAAATGGATAGTTATGTTGGTTGGGGATGGGATCTGTAGGAGATGACTCGAGAGAGGATTGGTGGAACATAAATTCATTTTCATAGAAATGGACATCTCGAGAAAGGAAGATGTCATGTGTATGAAAGTCATAGATCCTATACCCCTTGACACCTTGTGTGTATCCTAGGAAAACTCCTTTCCTAGCTCTCTCTTGAAAATTGGTTCTGTGACTAGTGATAGTTGAAGCCTAGCACAGACAACCAACGACCTTTAAGTCTTATAAGTTAGGAGGTTTATCATGAAGTTTTTGATTGGGTGTGAGATTGTTTAGAACTGGAGTGGGGACTCTGTTTATGAGATAAACGTCATGTTTGACACAATCGCCCCAGAAACTAATGGGGAGATTAGCCTGGAATTTTAAAGCTCTGGCAATGGCTAAGATGTGTTGATGATTTCGCTCAACTTTACTGTTTTGTTAAGGTGTCTCAGTGCAGGACATTTCATGTAAGATTCCATGTACTACAAACTAATCACTCATTTGGAATTCTCTCTCTTGATCACTTCGAATGATTTTGACATGAGTACTGAATTGTTTGGTTATCATGTTCCAGAAATGAATGAGTTTGGGTCGAGCATCAGCTTTAGAAGAGAAGAGAATGATCCAAGGAATTCTGGAATAGTCATCAACAGTGGTAAGGAAGTATTTAAGACCATCATAAGTGGGGGAAGAGTTTGGACACCAAATATCAACATGGATTAACTGGAAACATTGTGCAGTTACAGTTGCGCTAAAAGGAAAAGGAAGCTATTTTTGTTTGGCAAAATGACAGACATCACAAGGTAAGCTGTTGTTGGTTTCTATGTATTCACAGAGTTGTTTCAGTTGAGGAGCTCTACTGTGGGAGACATGTCCAAGTCTGAAATGCATATATCAAAATGTGGGGAACTAACAGCTGTTGTGATGTGTTTAGGTATACTAGCTAAGGTAGGTTGATGTGGTAAAGGCCACGGAGGAGCTTAGCAGAACCAGTCACTCTCCTTAGCTTCATGTCCTATATGATGCAAGAATCAGAAGAGAAGGTTAAGCAAAGAGGGCTCGTGGTTGTCAGTTTACTCACTAAAAGGAGCTTGAATGTGAATTTGGGGAGAAACAGGACATCCTCAAGAGTGATGCCATTAATACAAATGATTTTGCCTTCGTAGGTGGCTTGCACTCGATCACCAGTAGGCAGATTGATGAATATATGTTCCACTTTGTGGTAGGAGTGTTCAAACGGATTGGTGTACCGTGGTAACCATATTAACCGGTAGCATTTGGTTAATTTGGATAATTTGGGTCAGCTTATTTGGTTTAGGTGATTTTATTTGGTTTCAACACTGCTAACCAATGAAACCAATTAACCAATTAATGATACACCTAATATACAAAATTATTTATACTTCCATGCAACCAACAAACCAAACTTTCGTGATTCCCTATTTTATTTCCATGTACACAACAAACCAAAGCATTATGTGTTAAAAATTAAATGGGTCGGCCTATTTACTAAACCAAAATATTTTGGAAAACTACTAGACTTTAGGATTACGTACAATACCATGACAGCCACTTCAAACTATGTATAGTTTAAGTGTCTTGTAGGAGAGCTTTAACTTCCTGATGAGTGATATTGATATGTATTTAATATTTATGTTAAGGGTTTGTTGTAAGCTAACTATATTAGGTGCAGAGATGATGAATGATGTATTAACTCGAATGATGATGATTAGTCTTATTATTATTACTTATATATAATGATAGTTTATGATGGTAATAACATATGGTTATGTTTTATTTATTAACAAGATAGTTGTTTTCATGTAATGTTATGTTATTTGGTTAATCCGATTATCCGATTAACCAAACAAATTAAATTTTGGTTTGGTTAATTTGGTTTTGTTGTTAATTTGGACGGTTTGGTTAAGACATTTTATTCCATGGTTAATGACATTTAGGGTTAATTGGTTTGGTTATTACCACGGTAACCATTTGAACACCCCTACATTTTGGGGTTAATGAACAACAAGGGAACTAACTATATGGTTAGTGGCACCTGAGTCCAAGATCCATGGAATGGGAGAAGTACTGTGGTGAATATTGTTGCAAGAATGGTTACCTAAAGATGCATGAGCATGATGAGTAGTGAGTGCTGCATAATGTGCAGTGGTGGTGGACTTGCCCTTCAAGTTGTCATGCATCAGAGAAATCAGTTTGTCATAGTCTGATTTGGTGAGTTTGAATTCTTGCTGAGTGTTTGAATAAGTGCCACTGCCAGTTGCATTGATGAAGGATCTGCCTCGATTAGGAGGAGTGGTCCTGGACTGGGAGGATAGCCATGCTTCTTAAAGCATTTGTCTTCAGTGTGTCCAATCCTTCTGTAGAAGGTGCATTCTGGGGGTTTAGTAGAGGGATTTGGTGTCACAGTGGAACCTCGAGGAGTAAGACCTGGGCGCCAACCATGTTTATGGTAACAGGTTTCTTCAATATGGTCAGGAGCATTGCAGAAGGTGCAATGAGGACGTTTCCCGGGTATGTAAAGACGTTTGGAACCTTGAGCAGCGAAGACAATGGGTTCTGAGTTAAGTATTTTGCCCTGTTGGGTGCCAAAGAGCTGTCTATCATGCTGTAAGGCTCACTCGAAAACCCTAGGTGGGAGTGTATCTTCAAAGAGAACTTGAGATCTCATTATTGCAAAGTTATCATTCAACCCATGAAAGGAACTGGATGACTGAGTTTACTGCCTTATATCCAACAACGACATTCATAGAAGCACATGTAGTAGGACTATTGGTTGTGCAACGACGTGGATCTATTCGTTGGTAGTTGTCTAACTCGATTAGCTCTGCAACTCGAACCATATCTCTTTTGCCATAGCGTGATTTGAGGTTAAGCCAAGCTTCAGATGCGCGTTTGCAGGACATGATGGTCTTTTTTATTCCAGGTTCGACAGCTTGTTGAATCCAACTGAGAACCATAATGTTGTTTCTTGTCCAGGAGGAGAACTGAGCGTTTGTAGCAGCAGGGGCAACAATGGTATCATTGACGAAGCCAAGTTTGTTCTTGGCGGCAAAAGCATTGAGCATGGCCTTGCTCCAGTCGTTGTAGTTGGTGGTGGTCAACTTCTCACAGACTAGCGACAACCCTAGTTGATCTGATCCATGGAGATAGTACGGATCCACAATGGGATCCAGATTTTGTGGTTCGGCCATGTTTGAGAGGCGGCGGCTAAGGTTGCTCTGATACCATAACATCAAGTGTAGAATTGAAACCCTAACTTGTCTTCTCATTGATGATAATTGTGCTTTATATACAAGGTTGGATCAGTAGATGACAAACAGCTCTTAGTTGTTGTTTACAGACAGAACACAGATAATGCAAAGTTTGGAGGAAACATCAACTGAGAAAATGAAAGACGTTGGATCACAACGGCGACGTATCGCCTATAACAGTCTCCATTGCATAAGACGTCACCTGTGCACTTGAGGATTCTGAAGCCTTGCCTAAGACAACGTCGTTCCATCAGATAGGATTACTAGCCGTTGCATTTGGGGGCAAAAAAATTTTATTTTTGTCTGTTGCCCTATTTTCTTCCTGCAAAAATTGAAAATATTTCATGAGGTCAACAAGGGACAAATGCCATCAAGAATTCAAGATACCAAGATGAGTTAACTGTCATCCAGCAATCATCTAGGAAGGAGGGGATTGAAAAATCCTTAGCAAATCATGTTCAAGATCAGAAAAGGAGCAATCTGTCTCTCCAACAGCTACGCGTTTCCATATAATTAAACCATATGATTTTTATCTGACACCAAAATTGCAACCCATTTCTTCATTTCTTTTCCCTTAGCTTCTTTCTTCAAGGATCGAGTCTCTGAGAACAGTTTGACCAATTACATATAACAGAAAACTGTCCCCAAATTTTGGCAGGAGTACCCCCAAGATTGACCTAATTACAAACATCAACACTCCCAGCCACCAACTCCTAATAATCCCATTTGTTCGCCCTCTTGTTTCAATGGACAGTTGCAAATTCCAAAAGACCCCATCCATCAGAAAATGTCCAATATGCTCCCTAGACATCACAGATCAAGAGCTCCATGATATCGAAGGCATATCTGCATTGAATACAAAGAACACCATTAAGATCAAAATTGAAGCACTAGCGTAAGAGTTAGGGATCGTTTGGATGTGAAAATTTGAAAACGTGGGAATTTGTCTAAATTTTCATGTTTTACAAAACCAAGGAATTGACTTGTGGAAATTGAACAAAATTCCACGTTTGGATAGGGTTTAGTTTTGTGAAAATTGATGGTGTGGAATTTGATAAAAATACAAAAATGGCCTCCTTTGTTTATATACATATACCCCTCCTCAAGGTTGTTGTTGTATTATACTAACTACTAATTGTTGCTAAGTTAAGCATAGTTAGAAAAATATGATATGGAAAAGTTACGTATAAAATACGTACAATTATTTTACTTTATCTCTAAGCTAATATTACATTTAATAGTACATTAAAAGCCATAAATATATAAACTTAATAATTATTTTAATAATAAGTACATATATAAATTACAATAAAGTTAACAATTTAATTCATTAAATACGGATATTAAAAGTGTTTAGGCGAATTCGATGAGGAGAAGTAGGAAAATAGACGGTGAATGAGATAATTAAGCGAATCCAAAATTAAGAAATTGACGACGGATTAGAGGAGATATACGAAGGTGAGGGGAGATAAAGAAGAAGAGGTACCATTGATGAATGAAAAAGAAGGGGCTACTCTTGTAAGAAATAGTTAGGCGAAAACGGAAAAGGAGTAAGAAAGAAAGGAGAGGAAGGACATAGGGACACATTTGGAAATAGAAGGAAGAAAACGTGGTAATGTCAAATTACTAGGGGGAGATGTAGTATTCTCAATTACAATGAATGTGGTAATTGAAGTCAATTTCCATGGTCCAATTTCCATACTCTTTTTGCGCTGCCAAACGTGGGTTTTTAACCCAATTACTGCATTATGTGGTAATTGGGTCCAATTACTGCATTAAATTTCCACATCCAAACGACCCCTTAGTGATTTGTGGTTGTATAGGGGAAGGGGGAGGAGGTAGAGAATATACCATTGCTGGATTTTCCTAAACTCGGTAAGCACAGGGTATATATTCTCAAAAGCTGTGTATGTCTCATCTCTCACCTGCAGTGACAAAAGAGAATGATGCATAAACTACCATTTCACAATCCCCATGCGCAAACAGTTGAAGAACAAGATATAGGTACACATACAGACACCCAGAAGCTCACCTTAGCTCCTGTAATCACGATTTTCCCCGAGACAAAAATGAGGAGTACAATCTTTGGCTGTTTCATTCTATAGATCAGTCCAGGAAACAGCTCAGGCTCGTACTGCATTTAAGTGCAATTTGGTAATTCATTTGAGTCATTAAGAACAATGGAATCGTAAATAAACTCCATATATGACAGGAATTTAAGTCCCATGCATCAGATTGGAACATACACTTGAGAAAGCACCATGAGAGTACGCCAGACCCTCGAGCCTAATTGGGAACTTCACATCACATGAGCCAACTATGTTCTGGATCTTGAAGTCCTATCAAAACATTTGGGGAAAAAGGGTAAGCAGCAAGGAAGGAAAATGATTCCAGACCCACATACCAAAAGGAACAAGATTGTTCAAAAGGGAACGGAAAGCAAACCTTGAATTTCGCTGGAAAACCAAGCTTCTGGATAATTCGAGCATACTGGGGAAACAACACTTGCAAATCAGTTTAACAAGACTGCTAATCAAACATAACTTAAAGGCATGTTAGATATGATAAACACCTTTCTGGCTGCCAATTTCGACTGCTGTTCACTTTTAGCACCCGTGCATACCTGGTAGTTTGTAGAAACAGACACTCATTAGAAACAAAAGGAGTATATAAATAGCAACCAATAGATAGAGAGTAAAAAGCACACAATTGCAAATGTTTTCCCACTTTCAGAAATGAAACAGATAGTGATTATGAGAACAAACATACTGCTACATTAAACATCCTCCCAAAACACTGATTTCATGCTTGTCATAGTCTATTAGATAAGAGAGTGGAAAACTAGATTAATCAAAGTGAGCCGACTTCACAATTATTGAAAGAACGCTACTAATGGGGGAGAGCAGCAAGGAATGGCCATGACTAATGACTAAAACCAGCAAGCTTGAGAGATCTTGGGTGGGGAAGCTTACCATTTTCCCCGAGGCAAAGATAAGCGCCGTGGTTTTAGGTTCCCTGATCCTCATGATAACAGCAGCAAAACGCTGCAGAGAAACACTGCTTAGTAAATAAAGTTGCCAAAAGGGTCAACCACAAGACATACACAGAGACCTCAAATTCCACAAGCATTAATCAAAAACCCTTTGGAACATACTTTAGGGTTATATTCTGCATTACGGGCTTGCAGAGCGATTTGCTTAAGATCCAATTTGCAATCCAAGTTCACTGTGGACACAATGTTCCTGAAGGTGAGGAGAAAACAACCCATATCAGTCCTACCCATAACAACAGCGATCTCTCAAGGAGAATGACGAACAAACCCAGGTTGGGATCTATGGAACGAGGTGAGGGAAAAGAAGAAACTTACTGTAGGGTGGGTACAATGCCAGAAGGGTGCTTGGAAAGATCCACCGGTTGGCTCCCTTCCAAGCCTCCTTGTTCCGCCATATATAGGTTTTTTTCTTCCCTGAATTGGTTTAACTCAAAAAGAATACACAGAACCCAAAAATCAAATCTTATTTCTTTTTCCTTTTGAAAATTATGGTTTTTTCTCGTTTCTCTTTGTGCCCCCTTTTTCCACCCACAAATCGAAGAAACAGACTCTGCCCACACAAACCCAATCCGCACACAGATCAGAAGATCAAAATCGTGAAAGTGAGAACAAGTTAGGGTTCCAGGTTACGAGCGATCGGGAGAAATCTTGAAATCGAATGTCGAGAGTATAGTGATGAGGATAATAGATCCGAATTAAGGAGGGAAAAAGGAAAGGGGGGAGAGAGGGAAGGAGATTTCGAAAAGACGGTAGTTTTATAGGTTCTTGAAGGATTTATAAGAAGGAAGTCTGTCTGCTTGGAGAGGATTGGCGAGAGGATTTGGGATTTTGAGGGTTGGGCGTTTGAGAGATCTGAGAAAAGTGAGAGAGAGAGGAAGCCTTGAGGGCGATGAGGAGAGAGAAGGGGCTGGGGAAAAGGTTGAAGCGGTTTTTGCCCTTTTGTACCCTGGGCATCTCGTATTTATTCTACTGCTGGGTCAGACAGGTTGTGAGAGGAGGGGTTACCGGTTGGTGCCGGTTGAATGGGGGGTGCTTTCGGGTTTTCCACGGATGCGTGCGTGATATTTTCCCGTCTTCTATGATTTGGGCTATTGGGCGGGCCGCTTACAAAAAAAAAAAAATTATGAACCGCCTGATTCTCATTGGATGAAAGGGCTAGTAGCCCAAAGAGTCAAAGTACAAGTCATTTCCCAACGTCACAGGCGGCCTGCCAAACCAAATGAGGTCTTGGTCCCATGGACTAGAGAAATGGGCCAATTTGTGATTGTAAGCAACAGAATTAGCAGATTTAGAGATATATGCCCAGATGGGAGATGGTTTGAGTTGATCCCACTTCGCTGTTAGCTCGTATCTATCGAGGCCGCTACTTCGGTTTTTCATCATCAATTATGGAAGCCGGCTTGGGCTCCAATTCTTCTTGGAGATGGCGTAGTGTTCTGTTTGGGCGTGACTTGTTAGCTCAGGGTCTTCGTTGTCAGGTGGGAGATGGTTTTTCGATTAGAGCTTTTTTAGATCCATGGCTGCCAATATCTCCACCTACCATCCCAAAAACTAGAATTGGTGCACCTTCCGCCTCTCCGTACGTGGCAGCTTTCATTGATCCGAGGTCCAGATCCTGGAACATTCATATGCTTCGCCTGTACTTCGATGACAGCAAGGTTCAATTGATTTGTGGAATTCCTCTATCCCGTCAAAGGTTTTGCTGATAAATTTATTTGGCATTTTGAAGCTACATGTCTTTTTTAAGTTAAATCAGCCTATCTTTTGGTGAGTCAAATGCAACCTTCTTCTTCCCCAAAGCAACTGGCGCCTTTCACTGATCGTCTCTTGTGGCAATGGGTGTGGAACCGGAAGGTCCCTTCGAAATTTCATTTCTTCTTATGGCAATGTTTGCATCGTATTCTACCTACTCGAGAGGCTTTAGCCTTGAGGGGTATGGATTCATTACTAATTTGTCAGTTTGTGGCCACAAAGAGGAAACAATTGAACATCTATTCTTTAATTGTTTAATTTCTAGGAAGTTTTGGAGGCTTATTGGTTCGCAGGGGCTTTGGGGATCTTCGGAGAACTTTCATAGGGTTCATTCGTCATACCCTCATGAAGATAACTGGTGAAGAGGCGGATTACATAATTTTGCAGGTGGTTTGCTTGCTTTGGAGGTTGTGGAAGAATCGTTTTACAATGGTTTTTCAATTCAAGCAAATTCGCTTGGATGATTTGGCAAACCAATGGTTACATCAAGTGAAGGACGTGGACCAAGTGTTACTAATCTCAACTTCAGAGTCGCGATCGGGATCCGCAACAGCTCAACAGGTTGTTGATGGGATTGAAGGATTATTTGCTACTTTTGATTCTGCTACTTCCGCAAATGGCTTTGGTTCGACAAGCTTTGTCTTGTTTGATTTTTCAGGTGGGATTGTTGTGGCTTCTGCCAGACACTATGAAGCCATTGTTGATCCATATGTTTTGGAAGCATTGACGATGCGTGACTGCATTGCTGATTGTCGTCGACGTGGGCTATATGATCTCACAATATGTGGTGATGCAAAATTGATCATTGAAAAATGTTTGACTAGGGATGTCGGTTCGATTATGCAGGAAATTATCTCTATAGTGGATGACATGGGTACTTATCGGGTTCAATTCATAGGTTGAATTAGAAACAGAGCGGCTCATTGTGTGTAGGGCTGGATGTTCGGGTTCGGGTTTATGGGTAACCCGGAATCGGACCAAAAATTCCGGGTTTTGGGTACCCGAGAACCGAAATATCATTGTGAAAAATGGGTCTCGGTATCGCATCTGACTATTTTTCGGGTTTTGGGTAAACCGAACCCGGACCCGAAAATAGAAGGACCCGAAGTGGAACCGAACCCCAGCCCACAGGCCAAATATTATATGGCCGAGCGGCCCAGCCCACCCTTAAGGCCCTCGGCCCCCCCTCACTCCTCAGCCCGACCCCGACAGCCCAACCTTCATCAGCCTAACGCCCTAACCCTAAGCTTCATCTTCCCCTTCGACCTTCCCATTCCCAGCGGCCACTCCCCACTTCCCTCTCGCAGAGACGCAGACAAAAACCTTCCTACAATCATCCTTCACCAAATCGGCGACTATCATCCATCAACAATCAACAAATCGCCGACCAACCTTCTGTCATCCTTCAGCAAGCATGGAACGAGCAGGTGGGAGGAAGAGAGCTGCTGTAACAGGTTGTCTTCGGTGGCTTATGGGTATTCGGGTGACCGAACCATACCCGAGAACCGTGACTTTGGGTCTCGGGTACCCAAGAACCGAGTCTGAGTCGGGTCTGGTTCCTCAAACTGACATTTTTTGGGTCCGGGTACCCGCATATTTGGGTCCGGGTACTAGGACCCGAACCGATCTCCAGCCCTAATTGTGTGACCCGTCATGCTCTGAATTTGCCGCCTCCCATGTTACAGAGGTTTGACTTCTGTTGTTGGTTTAGTTCTAGATTTGTTTAACTCTATTGCTCCTCTTGTATCTGAACGATTTCCTGAGATTTTTCCAGAAATAGCACCTTTTAAAAAAAATTACAAAAATAGCACCCAATCCATAGAAATTATAAAAATAGCACCCTTTTTGAAAAACCGCACCCCTCTGGTGCGGTTCGAATATAAACCGCTCACCCAAGGTGCGGTTTAGCCATATTGGCCAAAACCGCACATTGGCCATGCGGTTTGAGTTTCTGACCTAACCAAACCGCATGGCTTAGGTGCGATTTTGGGCTGACCTAGCAAAACCGCACTTTGGGAATGCGGTTTTGCTTCTCCAAAACAAACCGCACCCTCAAAGTGCAGTTTTGGCAACACAAACCGCACCCCCCCCCCCAATGCGGTTTGTGTGTCAATTATTTTCCGACACCAAACATATAGCCATGCAGATTGGCAGACGTGGGGCTGCATGGGAGATGAAAGCCGCACCTCGAGGGTGCGGTTTAACTATAAAACGCACATTGGAGGTGCGATTTGATAAAAATGGTGCTAGTTTTGTAAATTTTGTGGGTTGGATGCTATTTTTGTATTTTTTTTAATAGGTGCTATTATTGAAAAAATCCCCGATTTCCTCTTCTCAATAGTGATCTAATGGCAAAAAAAAAAAAAAGAGATATAGGCCCAGATGATAGCTCTATTGGCACCTTTCCAACTCGTTCGCTCTATTCTCGAGAAAGTGCACCTCCTCCCCTTCTCTTTTCTATCTTCTTCGTCTTTCGTCAAACTGCCAATTAGATTTTTGCCCCACCTCTTTCTAATGTGGAAAAGACTTAGTACTTTGACTCGTGGATATTATGAGAAGGATGGGATATGACGAAGGGGTTAGAACCCGAAAGTCGTCCTTCTCTGATTACCCTTGTAGTCGTTAGAGCGAACCCCACACTCTAGTAATCATTGTTTCTTTGATGTTTGTGAATGATGATGATCTTGTGGTGCTTGTGTTTGATAACTTGCTAGTTGGTATTTGCTAATTAGATGAATACATTTCATTATTTTTTATTTTATACATTGAAATTTTGATTAACATTACGGAAGCGCGATGAATGTTGTATTATATTATATTATTTCTTATAATTATTATTTTATGTTAATAGAAAGGTAGATAAATTATTTTGAATTATTTTTATGATTATTCGTCTTTAATATTTAATACTCAACACTCTTGGTCATTATTATGTTTGTGGACGTAAATTGATGTTAAATCACACTTGTTAAACTTAAATGGATTGATGATTTGTAGAGGTGGCAAATGTATTGAATCCATAGATTGGAGGGTCAATGAATCAAATGGATTCATGAATTAGATAAAATGGATTGGTGGATTATCCATGAATCCAAATGGCATCCTCAACCTTGGAAAATATGTAGAACATGAAAAGTTTAGGTACTAAAATGTCATTATGAAAATTTTAGGTATCAAAACGTAATTTTCTAATTATATTTTTGCATAAAAATAAAATTTGCATACCAAAATATAACAAATAAAATTTGTGGGTGCTAAACTATAATTTGCCAACAATCCATGAATCCACCATTCCAATTGGATATGGTCAAAGGGATTAGATTTAAATAGATTGAATTAGTTGGATATTTGAAATGGATTAGTGTATTGGATTGGTGGATTGGATTGAGAATTGCCACCTCTAATGATTTGTGTATTATAAGTTGTTCTTGTTTTGGTTTATTATATTTTGTGAAAGAAAATTGAAGCTATTGGTTTGATTATGTATAATCGTACTTGTTAGAATGCATTTTAGTAGTTATTGGTTAACCGCCAAAATAATCGCTAACCGAACTGATAAAAGGTGGTCAATCGATAAGGCTTCTCGGTTCGGTTATCGGTATGAGTTTTTTGCTAATTGGTTAACCTCTAACTACCTTCTCGGTTAGTAGTTAACCTAAAACCGAACCGATTAGCACCCCTAGTTAGGTTGGTATTGGTAACCAATAAGATTTCGGGTAATTAGTATAACGGTCACAGAACTTGTCACTTTGTACAAAACGGTCCAAACCTTTCATTTGCAACAAAACGATCACAAATTTTTGGGTGAATATCAAATGTATAATTCTGACATCCTCCATCCAAAAATTTGTTAATTTGGTCCAGTCAGTCGTCCAATCAGCAAAAAAATTAATAAAAAATAAACTAAACCAAAACTAATTAAATCCCTAACAACCCAACACCCCAATCCAACCCAACCATTTCCTCTCTCTCCTCTCTCCCTCCCTCTCCGCCACCATATGCACATCCCCGCCCTTCTTCTCTCTGCCCCGCATCTCCATCGAAGCAGGAGATGAATTCTGGCGAGGCAACGATGATGGTGGAAGAGAGGGCCGGAAAAGGAGAGTCAAGAAAGGGAAACATCGTTGGGGAGACATGAGAGAAAGGTTGTGGGGGCGACACCATGTATCGACGGTTCAATGCATCGGCCGACAATCTGCTCCTGATTTTCCACCATCTTCTATTGATCTCCTCACCGGTTCACCACCGTCGAGATCCCGCCATTCGAACACCACCGCCAAAATAAGATTCGATGGCAAATCCCAGATGGCCAATAACAGCAAAAGCAGTGACTCCTTCATTCAGCGATGGAGATATCATCGAGAAGGTCTAGCAGAACTCGTCAATTTGCAATCTAGAGCAGCCAACGCCGAGAGAAGGAAAGGTACATATGCTTTGCCATCGTCATCACCCTCCCTGTCGCGCATCGCCATCTCCGCCTCTGCCATCGAGTCACAATCTTTGTCGCCACCTTCACCTTGTCCTCTTCGTATATTTGTGTTGTTGTTGTCGAAGAAATGGAATGGGATTGAGGTCTGGTGCGGGATCGGCGTACTCTCACTCCCGAGGCTAAGATGGAGCCGGGTGGATGGAGACCTGGTTGGAAGAAGATGGGGTGGCGACGGAGGATAGGAGCAGAGTGAAACGAGCGGCGGGAGGGTGAAAGAAGTACGACTGTAGTGGTGACTAGGAGATTTAGCTTGATCGATTTTTGATCAGTTTGAGTCTAGTTTGGTTTCATATATTACATTAAACTGATCGGTTGGTTAAGGTGGTTTGAATTGTCCATTTTTTATTATTTCTTTGAGTGACGTGGTGTACTGACTAGGCTTAATAGACAGACTTTTGGTATTCGTTCAAATGTGTTTTACTGAAGCGTGCAAAATTGAAGTTTTGTGACCGTTTTGTACTAATTGACAAGTTGTGTGACCTTTTATGATAACTACCCAAAATATTTCTCATCAACCAAATGCAAGGGGTCTACCGCATAAAATTAGGGGTTGTGTGGATAACATATTTGGACACAAGATTTTGCTTACGTCTATCTTTTTCCTAGAGTTCGCTCAAATTACTCATTAATATAGGCTTGCAAAATAAGAAATTTTGACGGTGCTGGATTTTGAAAGTCTTCAATGGTTGGATTTCATGTAACTTACCCGCTAGATATAAAAACTCAGGTTTGGGTTATATAATTTTTTTCAAAAACGAAGATAAGATTCCTCGCTGCTGTGGAGGTGCATTTGTTGGTTCGGTCTCTACTTCCTCCATCAGTAGTCTTGCCAAGAAAGTCTCCATCGCGGCCAAAGTCTTCTTCTTCTCCTTCATTCGATCCTCCGTCTTCGAGACCTCGTACCACCAGAATAGCAAACATGGAGCTATTGTTCTCTTCCTCAACCTTGATTGAGGGATTGTTCGGGGTTAGGGATCTGTCTAAGTTAGGATTTTTCCGGCGGTGGAAAAAAGAATGGAGGCGGAGAGGAAAACACGAGGGAAAAGTTGTACTCTCTTTGGGTTTGGATTTCTTATATTAAAAACTAAATTCTTAAACAAACAAATAATGTTTCCAATTCCATATCCCAATTGTATGAGTTTTTAAATGAGGGGTTTGGGCTCAAATTCATCTATAACACATTCCATCATCCAAACGACCGTTGTGTCCATTTATGTTCTCTCTTAAACGAGGATAAATTTTCTCTAATCAGTCCATTCAAGAGGGCCATGATTGATATAATTGAGATGCACGACTTATTAAAGATTCCCTACAATATGAACTATGAGTGAAATGAACTA